ATTGTCTCGACTACAACATTTTTTGAAGACTTCTATCGTGCACTTCTTTGAACATTCAAGATCAACTTATTAGCAGTGAAGTTATTGTTCTTTCAAGTGATTAAATTATGTAAGGAACAGCTTAACTTCCATTCAACAATTGGGCGCTGTTGGCTTGGAAGGGCACTTCTGTATTTTCCCTGGTCCCTCTTGCTAGTCCATGTTGATCAACAGGTTAAGCCTTTGGTGCGACCTATAAACTCGTGTGAAGCTACGAAGTAACATAATAAGAACCACTTTTGTTGCAGAAATCTACAGGTTTTTCACATGGTGGCTTGAACTAGCTTTGCCGAGTACCATCTAGTCCCTCCACCGAGCCGAACTGCGCCAAAATGTTTGGAATCGTACGACACGATAATATGCTTACCAGTTTGAACTGCTGAATACTGTGGACGTGTCAGTGGGCCAAGGTTCGCCGCGGCGCCAGCTCGCTTCCCACCAATTGTTGTCGCTTGCCTGCATCATTTGAGAACGATTTCAGAATTTCAGATTGGTGACTATGAGACAAATGAACAGAATGAATTACTAGATGGAAGGAGAGCCACATAGTGCAATAAAAACGTCCCTTCAAAATTTTTAATTTCCAAGCATATCAATGACAAAAACTTTGAAAATCTATACATTACTACATAGTGTTATTACACATCGTCTACCGGAAAAAAAAGCCTACAAGAAAACCACAGTTGTTAGTGAGCTTAGTTTTGGCATGCATGAAAAAATGCAGTCATATCAATCTGTACAAGTATAACGCTTCTTGGAGTGATAAGAAGTCTCGCCTAATGGAGAATTTTCAAAAACTTGGAATATTACGAAATTTCATAAGAAAAAGAAACACTTCGCCACTATTGAATCACATGCGGAATGACAACAATCAAATGATCACAGCTGCCTCGCGGGTGACGGATAATTGGTACGACCACCTTTAGAGGTAGCTGGCACCCGGCAGAGAGGCAACTTTAATGAGGTGCGAAAACTTGGTGCCTAGCTGCGAAGTGACCTCATTAACGAGCGAGGGCTGACAGGTCATCTTGTTATCCACATGTTGACATAATAAGTGATAGATGATCAATAAAATGACGAGAGAGGTCAATGAAATATGTATAAGGATACTCTTACCTACACAATTAGATAACGAACCGGTCCCAATTAACTATTGCGCTCTTGATACACTATTGAGGAAACTCTTGCTGAAAGTTTGGGCTACGGGTTCACTCGATGCCCGGCACTATTGAACTATTCCCAACCCAAAAACTTAGAAAATTTTTTCGCTGAAACGTTGCCTGTAGATGTAGTTCGATGCCCTGTTCACAAAATATCCATCCGTTTCGAGCGCTGGCGTCATTTGGCGCCATTATGCGCCAATTTGGCGCCCACCACTTTTTTCACCAAAGTTGATGAAAACTTGCATATGGGGGTTAATTGAGGTCCTGATTACGAATATCACACTGGTTTCAAGCGCTGGCGCCATTTGGCGCCATTATGCACCAATATGGTGCCAAATTGGCGCGTAATGGCGCCGAATGGTGCCAACGCCAAAAATAAATGTTGGATTCGTTAATCAGGACCTCAATTAACCCCCATATGCAAGTTTTCATCAACTTTGGTGAAAAAAGTGGTGGGCGCCAAATTGGCGCATAATGGCGCCAAATGACGCCAGCGCTCAAAACGAATGTGATATTCGTGATCAGGGCATCGACTACACTCTATAGACAACGTTTCAGCGAAAAAAATTTTTTTGAGTTTTTGGGGTAGGAATAGTTCAATAGTGCCGATTTTTTGTACTGAAGTCGTTGTCAACCTCACGCATAAGCTGTTCGGCGCCAAGCTGGCGCGATGTGGCCTCGGCAGAAAAAATAAGTGATAGATTCGTGATTGGGGCCATCAATTACCCTCCTAAGGAAAGGTTTATGGTGGTAGTAGACCGGCCACTGGATTGGCAGTAGCACCCTGACCCGCATCTCGTATAGCTCACCGGCTAACCCAACCTTCGCAAATTTCCCTTCTCAAATTCGGCACGACTTTAGAGGAAACCATGTTGGTCCCAGAGCACGTGTATACGAGCATCCTGGACTCTTCTCGGGTCCCATTGTATATGCTTCCATTACCTCCAGCAGTAACTCTGTTGCATATCTCAGGCAACGGGCGTGCGGTGGAGGGGAGGGGAGTGTTGGAAATGAAACTCGGTGTTAGGTGTCATCAAAAGCCATGATCACGGTTCTGACATTTATAAACGGCGCAGCTATTTGTTGCCAACATGATTCCGAAGATCTTCGCGAATACAGGTGAAGACTTTTTCCATCCATTTGATTTTTCATCGAACACACATCTGTATACCTACAATGGTTTGACAATCATATACTCTCCTCAAATCGATGCCCTAGTTTAGTAGTGTGCAATGGGAGAGGCAGTTGACAGAGGGTATGTGAGAGAGATGTGCAGGGAAGGCGAAAGAGGAGAATATATAGAGAGAGAAGCGAAGGAAAGAAGCGTGCGATAGACACTCGAAAGAAAAGTGCTTGGAACTCTCTCAGTCTCGAGTCATAGCGTTTATAATATCGTACTCGTTCTCTCGTTCGGGGGGCGGTTTAATGTCTCATTGATACTATCGTGTGACGCACAAGGTGGCAAGAATAATTGAACCTCATTATTATCTTACCTATTAGGACATCGCCTATATCGATTATTTGATGACCGCAAAATTATTATTTCACAATGTGCGTGTGACTGCAGACGACCTCGCGCGCGACGAATTGCCTCAATTGTATAAGCATACATTCTCCATTAATTAGAAATTTTTCATGATCTTGCTCAGCTCTAGCGCTGAGAAAAAGTTATGATGTAATTACTTTAGAAAGAGCCGCAGCTTGAGAAGTGTTCCAAATCCTTTTGGTACTCTAGTTATCTGCTCACCTCAACGCTCATTAATAGCAGTGCGTAGTTGCCAGGGTTTTCTCCTTCACCGACGGCACCCATATATTCACAGCTACGGTTCGTCGCTCACTGAGGTGCCTCAGCTAACCTCTCTAAAGATTAGAGTCATGGTACCGCTCTACCAGATTGATAGAGCCTCAGCACAAAAGTGGCATGCGCATGCTAGAGTAACTCGACCTGTGAAAGATTTCATCCACCTCAGGGAGAGTAATAATGCGCTTAGACCAATGAGGGTAAATACGATCTAGCAGTAATTGCAAGTAGGCTTTTTTATAGGACGCGCAGATAATTGGTACGACAACAACTTCAAACGTCAATAGGGCTGAAGATAGTTGTTTCCAACCATCACTACCTGAGCTGCAAACATGGTTCGTGTGTTTCTGAAAAATTTCACGTGACAGTATGAATGACATCAAATACATTCCCCCAATTGCGGAGGTGAGCCAGGAAATTTGCGCAAACCATATTATAACTGTTTCCCATCAAATCGATGATTAGCAGTTAGCTTTTGTTGCGATTGCGCGTCCTGCGCCGCTACTCCATACAACAATGCGGGTTATCGTCGGAGAAGGAAAATCGATTACGAATAGCGCGCAGTTGCGATGAGCGTTTCGCATGACCGAATGATGAGACCAGAAGAGACCCCTCCATCGGTGTACAACGTAGTCGAATACGGTCGGAGATAAGAGTCACAGAGCGTAGAAGGATCAGTTCACATACTTGCGAAGAACTCCCGGGAGCGCTTCTGGTCCTTCATCTGCTCTATTTCTTTAATTGCCACCTTTTGCTTTCACGGGACAATGTTGTCCGTACCAGTACTGTCGACTAGCGAGTGTTCACAAAGAGGATAGTGTGGAAGTGAACAGCGCCGATTTTCGCCGAGTTATCCTCGCCGGTAGCGGACAAACGCCAGGCAAGTGGCTCACTTTTGCCATTTACCATTTCGCTACTTCCTAAGTGTTTACAAGTGTTAACCTGTGGAGTCTTGGGACACCACGTTAGTTAACATGTCCTAGCAAGAGTAACAAGCAAAAGTGCATGATGCCCCTTCCAAGCCAAACGGCGCCCAATTATATTTTCCTTTTCGACCACAACGAATAAGCAGCTTAAGTTAAATGATTACGTTCTTTGAGCGTAAATGCGAAACTCAGCTGTGATGGATGTTTTTCAGAGACAACTGTTTAGGCTGTTATACTTCGTATTGAAAGTGTTGTTTATAGTGAGCGTCTGGAGGCCTGCTCTCGTCATCTGATAAAAGAAAACGGGCTTGAAGCCGGTCTCGCCTTTCCAACTGGTTGCTCGTTAAATAACGTTGCTGCTCATTATACTCCAAACAATGGAGATACTACTGTTTTACAGTATGGAGACGTTTGTAAGGTATGTGAGAATGTCCCTGGTTGCGCCCACCATCTGTCTGGTCCTGACGCGATAGCCAGTTTTGTTTCTCATTGTCTATTTAAGATTGACTACGGTGTACATGTACGTGGACGACTCATTGACAGTGCGTTCACTCTTCATTTCGATCCACGGTATGATAATCTGGTGAATGCGGTCAAAGAAGCGACAAATGCCGGAATTCGTGAAGCTGGGATAGACGTGAGGTTGTGCGATCTGGGAGAGACTATCGAAGAGGTAGGCCTTCTACAGGGTGAATACCGTTACTCACGACAAATTAGACTGGCTCCATCAGCCCCGTACTGCGATTTTTTATGCATTCACCAATTGTATGTTTTCAGGGGAAAAAGCTTCAGACTCAATATGTTTATGTTCAGGTTATGACGTCACATGAAGTAGAACTTGATGGACGTACATACACTGTGAAGCCAATTCGGAATCTGAATGGACACTCGATTGGAAATTACCGGTGAGTTGTGGGCTAAAAGTTAGTAGTGTAATGTCATGGTTGCCTAAAAAAGTAAAGTTGCTTAGCTGTTGAGGTAGGTCCTTAAGCTCAATTCCCAGTAGAAACAGACAGATTTCACAGAAAACTGGCGCTGTGCGGCTTTGTGGGGGACGCATTTTGCACTTCTGCTAGTTTCTTTTGCCAGTTCATGTCGAGTAAAGCGTCTTGCTTTGATAAAATCTAAAAAACTTTTGTTGAAACCTTGTGAATGGTAGGAATGAGCCATCTTGGTGGCATTTGCAGGCTTCCAGGACTGTAAATGCAGGACTGTTGACGCTTCATTGAATATCATTTCGTGCCCCCACTAAGCCGAACGCGCACAGAAATGTTCGAAATTTAACTTCGTCTACTCACACACATTATCTTGCAGGATTCATGCTGGAAAAACAGTGCCGATTGTGAAGGGTGGTTGACCAGACGAGAAATGGAAAGAAAACGAGCGAAGAGTACCATTTCGTATAATGCAGTTTGTGAATGCTCTTCAAGAGTCTATTTTTTATACAATCGTACACCCATTTTCAGCTCAATTTTTCCTGATACTTAGTAGCATGTGTGGTCGACTTCGTGTTAATGGCTTTACCCTCGTATTTCCCTTTTTTTGGGAGGTTATAAATCTCTGTAGTTCCGTTTCCCTGCAGAGAGTAACTGAGATCGAGTACCATGCATAGGTCGATATGACTCACTGAAAATACGTGGAGACCTTCGGCTGGTGACTCTGCTGGAGCTTATTGAGGAAGAAAGGCGTATCATTGACGCGTTGCGTCAGTTCGGCCGGCCCCTACGAGGCACAATCGAATTGACGACACCAAACGTAATCTGTGTATGTCAAGTTCACGTTGTAGTTGAGGGAAATAGAAACGAATGATGGCGCAGTTTGACGAAGGGGGGGGGGGCATTTTGTACTATCATTGCTTCCCTAGTTCCGGTTTACAAGTCTCACTCTGGCGAAAACTGTGAAGCTGGAGCAAGCTCATCTAGCCATCATGGTAAAACCTGTCAACTCGAGAAGAGGCTGCCTAGATAGGTCGACACGTCGATGGGAAGTAGCGAAAGTGCAAAATGCCCCCCCCCCGTCGTCGTCAAACTACATCACGACTGATTTTGTACTGTCGATCGCACGTGTACTGGAAACGAGCAGTATGAGCAGCTATGAACTTATGGCACTCACGTTTTGTAGTGCAGAGCATCCAGTTACCAGTTTTGCTTGTTAAGAGATCTTAACACGTTCCGGACCGCGTGACACACATGGTGTGTCATGCATTTGCCCCTATGTGGCGTTTTGTTTGATTCTGACTTTTCTTTCATGTTCTGTTGTTGCGAAAACACGTTTTCTAATTATCAACATATCCTTCCTCATAAGCGATTGAAAAGAGGGAGGGAATTACTGATCAATTGTTGATGAAAAGTGAAATGAAATGATTGGGATAGGCGCGCAATACGGTGGCCCGCAATGTGTTCAACAAGGTTATCAACACAGGACTGCCACACTGCGCGCAACTCTGGACCATTTTACCATTTTTCATAAGTTACTCATCAGTAATTTCCTCCTTTTTGGATCGCTTATGAGGTAGGTGTCTTTCATGACCTAAAATGTGTTTTCACATCACTGGAGCATGAAATGAGAGCCATATTTCAATAAACGGTATAGAGACAAATTTATGACACACCATGTGTGTCACGCGGTCCGGAACGTGTTAATTTCATGCCAGGCCTTTACCCAAAGTCGGCTGCTTTGCTAAACTTAGCTGTTGGCCGTCAGTCTCACGTTCTATTTCCAGGTATACGCTATTGAAACATTCGGATCAA